GCTGTTGCTGCTGTTGTTGTTGTTGTTGTTGTTGTTGTTGTTGTTGTTGTTCTTCCTGCTGCTGCTGTTGTTGTTGTTGTTGTGGTTGTGGTTGTTGTTGTTGTTGTTGTTGGTGTTGGTGTTGGTATTGTTGTTGTTGTTGTTGTTGTTGCTGCTGCTGCTGCTGCTGCTGCTGCTGCTGCTGTTGTTGTTGTTGTTGTTGTTGTTGTTGTTGTTGTTGCTGTGGTCCTCCTCCCCCTTCCAGGCTCGGTTTTCCGCTGGGGCTCCGCCGCCGCCCCCCCCCAAGGCCTCCGAGGCGGCCCCGGCGCCCGCGCCGCCCGCGGGCGGCACGGCGCCCTCGGCCTCTCTGGGCGACCTGTTCCGGCAGAGGAGGGCGCTGCTGGAGGACGCGGCGCCGCCGGCTGCCGCCCGCAGCTGCTCCCGGCCCGCTCCTCCCCTCTCAGGAGGGCACCGTGGTGAGACCCCAACCGCGCGACTCTCCGACGACCTGCTACGGTGAGGGCTTTGGATACAGAACCCTTGGGTACAGAATCCAGGGTGTGAAAGCCGGTGAAACACCAATCGAGGCGTGGCTATGGACATCACCGCCGTCCTCATCAAGCAAGGAACTTTCCAGGGTCTGAAGCCTCCTGGGCACATTCCTTGACAAACGCCCCCACTGTACACTGCGATGCGTTCGTTGGCCGACATGCCCTGGCAAAACGTACCAGGCGCCCCGTATCATTGTAGTGCGCCCAGGTGGAGGGTTTCTCCGAAGGGCTTAGGCGACCCGTCCTCCTCCTCCTCCTCCTCCTCCTCCTCCTCCTCCTACTCCTCCTCCTCCCCTCCTCCTCCTCCTCCTCTCCTCCTCCCTCCTCCCCTCCTCCTCCTCCTCCTCCTCCTCCTCCTCCTCCTCCTCCTCCTCCTCCTCCCCCCCCCTCCTCCTCTTCCGTAGCCATTTTGGCTCAAGCTGCCGCCCCGGTCCGAGGTGTTCGGAACTGCTCCAGGAGCAGCGCACCCGCGCGGGGCGGGCAGCCATGCGTGCCGGCCGCCTCGCCTCGCCCTGCCTCGGCGAGTGGAGGGCTAGCCGCGCGCGACGAGGCTTCTCCGGCCGGCGCTGCTGCAGCCAGCCGAGGCCGGACCTCCGTGCCCCTGCGCGGAGACTCGGCTACGCGGCCCGCGTCGGCCGCCGCCCGCAAATGCAGGACGTCGCCGCGCTGGTCGCCGCGCTGGTCCGCCGTCCCTTTCTGCCTTCACTTGCTGTGCGGCAGCCTGACGTGCCGCCATCAGACGACCAGCAGCGTGTGCTACTTCGTGACCATGATGCCGGACCTGTACATGCAGATGGTGATGCTGCGGGTGCCAAGGTGGCCGAGGCCGCATGGTGCTGGTTGCCCGGAGCGCTGCCGCCACCGGCGCCCAACGCGCCGACCTGGTGGCCCTCGCTGCCGGCCGCCGCCGCCGCCCCTCGTGCTCTTGCTCGTGATGCTCCTCCTGCCAGCCAGCCCGCGGCCGAGCCGCGGAGTGTGCCGTCGCCGCCGGCTACGCGGGCGACGACTGGCGCCGCCGCTGAGGCGCTGGCTGCTCTGAATCGTCCTGCTGCTGCTGGTTCCGCGCAGGCGCCGATACCGGCTCTACCGCCTCGGATTTCTGGGCAGGCGCGGGGCGATTCGCTCCCTGGCGAGTGTGGGAGAGTCCGGGCGATTCGCTCCCCGGGCCCCACTGCGCCGCCGAGCCCGGAGCAGGAGGCTGGTGCTCGTGTCCCTCTGCCTGCCCGCCCTCCCCCCCAGTGTCCCCTGTCGGGGCCCGGGGGAGGTGAGCCACTCCCCCCCAGTGTCCCCCGTCGGGGCCCGGGGGAGGCGGCGCAGGCCGCGGAGGCCACTGGGATGCCGCCGCAGCACGCGGCCGATCACTCCCACTTGGACAAGGCCCGCGCCGCGGCTGCTGTTGCCTTCGTGCAGCTTGCTGCTAGCCAAACGGCCGCCCCGGCTACTGGAGCTGCAGCGGAGGCTGGGCGTCGAGCTGCTCCGGAGCTGCCCGCAGCTGCCGCTGGAGCCACAGCCGCGGCGACTGCCGCCGCCAGCAGCATGGCACCTGCTGGCCGCTGGCCCCCCGGAGAAGCGCTGGCAGTGGCAGCCATCCCGATCGCTGCTCATCGAGATCTGGACGGTGAAGCTGGAGCCTGCTATCAAGAGCTCCCGGATCCCGATCAGCGCGTGCGAGCAGGGCGCGCAGTGGCAGCAGGCCCTCTCGCTCCTCCGCGAGAGATCGGTGGTGAAGCTGAAGCTGGAGACTTCCACCATGAGCCCAGGCCGACGGCGATGGAGAGGGTGCAGCGGACGGCCCCAGCCGACATGGAGCCTCAGGATGCAGGAGGACTTCTCGTGATAGCGGGCAGGCTGACGGCAGCAGGGATGCGTCTCCCCGTGCTGGAGCGGGGCCCCGCCCTTCGGAGCTACTGGCGGCGCGTGGCACAGGAGCGCCTGGAGGCCGCCGCGAAGGCCGCCCTCGCTGAGAGCCC